CTTCCTGGCTACAGTGAAGTGAACAGCTTCCCTCTACCACGATGTTCCTGCCTCTCCACAGAGCACAGTGACCATGGACTGAACCCTCCAACCATGAGCCAAGATACACCCTTCCTGCTTTATGAGGATGTTTCCAGGTATTTTCGTCACAGCAGCCCAAAGCCTACTGGCACCCCTGGTCTTCTTTGTTTGTATCTGTCTGTGTCCCCACCTCTCTACCCCTCATGACCTAACACAGAGCTCGGCTCTCCACTTTACCACTTGCCAGCTGGCTGGCTCTGGACAGGTGACTTAGTGTTCCCAAGCCCAGTCTCCCCAGCTGGAACACAGGACAATGCCACCTGACCCAGAGGGCTGACCAAGGGATGTGCGAGGCACCTGCACAGTGCCCAGCTCCACAACCTGCCCTTTCCTTCCTTCACAACAATGGGAAGGGAATCAAGAAACACACTTCAAAAAGAGTAGAGCCTCTCAGGATCAAGGTGAGTGCAGTCAGCTCTGCGGCATTGTTCACACTGAGCAGGACACAGAAATTTTTTATATTTGACAGTCAGAAAGGGAGTGAGGGGCATAATTTATGCTCCAGGAACATTCAAAGGGTTCCCAGTAAGTAATAAAGATCACTTTGTATATATGCTATAAAAAGGAGTCTTGAAAGTCAGCTTAGCCAACTCTTCCATTTTATGGATGAAGAAACTGAGGTTTGGGAAGGAGTTGAACTAATAATTAGCAGAACTGAGAGGGCAGTGCTGGAGAACATAAAAGACATTCAGCTGAGCAGGTTTGCTTACTCAAGGACAGAAGGGAGTTGCAGAGCAATAATAATGACATTAAAAATGTATAAACATTAACTAACACTTTTGTCTTAGTTACTTTTCTCTCACTGTTGAGATAAAATACTGACACCCAAAGTTAAAGGAGAAAAGATTTGTTTAGCTCACAGTTTGTACAGGTCTTAGTCCATAATCAGCTGGCTCCAAGGCAGGGTGGCACATGGCAGAGGGGAAACAGTTTATGGTAGTGGAAGATCGAAAAAGCAAGCAAAGGAAGAGTGAGACAAACCTCTTTCTGTCCCTTATATTGTATGCAGGCTACCTGCCCTAGAGAAAGTGTAGCACTCACACCCTTAATCTCAGCTTTGGACCCTGAATCAGTCATAAACTGCAGATTCAGCTGCCTCCAAAAAGCCCACCTTCCATGACAGTATGAGGCTTTGGGCGGACATCCAGAAACAAACCATAACAACTTTGCATAGTCTTCACTATGTACCGGGCATTATTCTAGTGCTTTCTTCATTTTAACTTTCAGTTCCCGTCTGAGTCTATGAAGTGGGTAGTACTATAAGGTCCTACCACTGTTTCTATCTTAAAGGTGAGGAAACTGAAACACTAAAAAGTAATTGTCCAGGGTCACACAGTTATTGGCAGAGCCAAGATTTGGATGGAGGAGGTCTGACTTTCACAATCTGTGTTCGGAGCTACTATGGTTCTCAGACAGCGGTGCCTGGGCCTGCAGTATCTGGTGTTGTGGTTTGAATTTTGAGGTTATTTCCAGAATTCATGTGCAAAAAATCCTCAATCCAACAGGATTAACAGGTGCTGCCTTTTGGAGGTGACCGAGCCAGGAGGAAGCCACCCTTATGCGTGGGATGGGCATCCTAGTAACATGGCTTGCAGTTGCAGGGAGCTCTCTCTTGCCCTTCTGCCCTTGCTGTGTGAAAATACAACTTTCAGCCTCCAGGGGACGCAGTGCTGAGGGACCAGCATGGAAGCACAGTAGCCCTCGGCAGACACGAGTCCTGGGGCATCTTGATCTCGGGCTCCCCAGCCTCCTGAACTGTGAGACATAACATTTTATTGTTCATGGATGACTCAGCCTGTGGTGTTTTCAGCAGCACAAATAGACTAAGGCACCTGAGAATTGTTAGAAATGCAAGTTACTGCTCTGAAGAATCGTGAGGCCTCCGCTGGGCTAGAGTCAGGGAGCTGTGTGCACAGTCCGCTGACGAGTTCGACGCTCACTCAAGCCAAGAACCACTGCCTTCAGCATGTGCCTTCTTTCCCCATCTTCCTTCAGAAAAACTCCTGCTGAAGGTGGGAAAGGAGGCTGGGGCGAACCATCAGTGAGACTGGGAAGTTCCCGCCAGGACACACTTGGATTTGTGCTTTTGAATTTTAATGAGTGTAAGAAATGATCAGGGCTGGGAAGGTGCCATATTGGTATTTGCTCTATTTCTTTCTGCAGAAGTAAATTTGGGGCTTATTTATATTTTTCTTTTCCTCCTTGTAAGTACCTAGCAAAGAATGGACCATTGGTAATCAATAAGCTTTTAGGGTGCCCTTAGATGACTTGTTTTCCACAGAAAGCTAGTCTGAAAGCAATAGATATGATGGACAGAAGGTTCCTGGATGGAGGCTGTGCTTGTGGGAGAGAAAAAGTCTCTGGCATGATGAGCTAGCAAAATACCCAGGGCCCAGCTTGCTTAAGCTGGCTTTCTTTAGCCTCCTCCTCTTTCTCCTTTCCTTTTCATTCCTTCCCTCCCCTTCTCTCTATCTCCTCCCGTCCCCTTCCTTCCCCACCCCCATCTCTCCTCTCCTTTCTTTCTGTCTCCTCCCCTCCTCTCCTTTCCACATTTCTTCTTGTCTCTTAGGTAATAATTCCCGCTGCAATCTCCAGCCAGTCCCTTAAGTTCTGTTCACCTTGGTTTTCTTAATGGAAAAATAGGAGTAAAATTAACTTGGAAGCCTGTTTAAGTCCAGGACTTGTGGGGGAAATGCACACACAAGAAAGTACAAAAGCACTCTAGTCAAGGAGGGAGAGGGTAACAGCATGCTGAAATGCCACTCTTCCTATCTTCTCATTGTCTGGCCCCAAACCAGAGAGAGAAAAGTGCAACCAAGAACAAAATCAAAAATCAAACAAACACAGCACAACACACACACACACACACTCATACACACACTCACACACACACACTCACACACACACTCTCATACACAAATAGTGAACATATTCCCATGAAAGAGCCAGGCCACAAAGGGAGGATGGCTTTTTCTGCACTTCCCTGTTGCCCACCTATACTTCCTGCCACATACAGGGAATAAGAAGAGCTGAGAGAGGACATCTGAGAACGACTTGTGGGCAGGTGTGCATTTGACCTCCCACCTCTATGGAAGGGTATATTCTGTTCCACTTTTGGTCAGACAACGGGTCCCTTATGAGAACCACTAGGATTACTTGTAGAGTAGAAACCAGTCTGCAGTACTGAAGAGATACAAACTCCACAATTAGATTTGGGAGCTTAGCATCCTGGTTTTAGCAACATGGTGATTAATACATTAAGCCAATTAAACTCTAAGTAACTTTTCACGTGTATTTGCCTTTTTATTTTTTTTCCTAATGGAGACGGGAGGAGGCTACAGGCCAGAGCTGGCTGGTGCAGTGGAGAGAGTGGTCATCTCACCAAAGGCAGGGCCAGGAGGTGTCTGAGAAGATGGACGGTGGGGAAAATGGCCACCCGTGATCTTTCCGCCCTGGCGGGACTTGGCCGAGGGCTCTGACACAGCGTGTAAGTATGACCAACACACAGGGATGGGCGGGTCGGAAGTTTCCAGGAGAGCTCTGAAAGTGCTTGTGGCTGTGATGGAGAAAGCTGCACTTGGTGGCACCAGTGAGACATTGTAAGGTTTCCGGGGCCTTGTGCCCTCTCTCTCTCCTCTGCTTACTCAGAGGTTGGAGTGTGGACAGTGGAGAAAGCGGAGGATTAAGGCAAAGCAACGGCCAAGGGGCCACCTGCACGCCAGTTTCCTGGAAAGACCTGCCTGGGGCTGTTTAGCATTGTTAATCAGTAGAAGGACTACATCTGAAATAAGGATGAGAAAACATAGCACGGTAAGTACATGGACTGTAACACAGTTCTTGTCACTCGCAAGTATCACGCGCAATGTTAGACGCTGCGCTTCCGCGCTGTAGTTTTAAGCAGCTGGCGGCACAGTAGGTCTTTTCCACCAGTAACACCGCAAACACATGAGGGACACAGTGCACAATGGCATCACCAGGCAACGGACATTTCGGCTCCACTGTCACCTTATGGGGCCACCTGCATCTGTACGATCTACCTTTGGCCAGAAGGCTCTTACGTGACCCAGGCAGGTCTGCACCTTTGATTCTGTTTCCACCTAAGGCCAAAAGCCAAGTAAATGTTTAGAAAGAAAGCTGTTTTTTAATTTAAACTATACTATTATCTCGTGTTAGATTGCCATGCAGCTGAACAGATTTGGAATAGGATGCGAAGGCAACCTCTCCTCTCTCCTTGCTTTTCCTTTCCAAAATGGACGGACACATCTGGGGAGTGTGGCCATTTCTGATTTCCATCACAAAGCATCCACAGCAACGGTTTCCACTGCTCCATCCCCATTCAGGGCTGCAGCAATATGCGAAGTGCAGGTTGACAAAGCGTCTTCAGTCAGGGGAGCAAATTCCGAAATAGGAGACAGAGAACCGGTTACGCTCTGTGCTGTGAAGCCTGTTTCTAAATAAATCACATGTTTTGAAGAAAATATTCCACAGGGATTAAAAAAGAACAAGTTGAAAGGTGGCCTGAGGAGGCATGGTGACTCAGACTGCAGACAAATAAATTACACCTTTGGTTCAGACTAATTCTCTGTGTGTGCCTCAGGAAAAAAAAAAAAAAAAAAGGCAAACACATGTGAAAAGTTACTTAGAGTTTAATTGGCTTAATGTATTAATCACCATGTTGCTAAAACCAGGATGCTAAGCTCCCAGATCTAATTGTGGAAAGGAATCCAATTGGAGATTTCACTTATTGGGGAAATATTTATCCTTATTTTCTGCAGATTTCCACTGATGCAGGTATTCTACACCGTCAGTAGAGGAACCAAAATGCTTAGTTTCTTTTTGTGCCATCAAATTAGGAACAAAACAGATTAACTGGAAATCAGCTGGAAGGATCACAAGTAGCCCACTGAGGAAAGCGCACGGGACCCAGCTGGCTGTGTTTTAGATCTCATGTATATATGAAGGAGTCCCAAATCACCCCCACAGAAATCTGGTTTAGAATGGGAAAGGGACCCAAGGGGCATTTTCCACCTGCTTCTGGGGCTATGGAGATGTGGTCAGTGCTGATGCCGTGCGGCATGCTCTCAGAATCCCAGTGGGACAGGAGCAGCAGCATGAGATCCTTCTTAGTTAGTTAAAAACATTTCCACAGATCACTAAGCTTTGCAGGACTCTATGGAGGAAACAAAAAAAATCTTCAAATACTTTCTCCTGGCTTCAGGGAGCTTAAATTTTCATTTGAGTTGACCAGGAAGATTTTTATCCTTCCTAAGGGAGTAGAATGAAAGAGAATAAAAAGGAAGCAGTCTCAAGTCTGGGCTTTGACCTGTGTTACCCATAGACATTTCCTGTGGGCAGCTGTTGGCCTGTTTTTCCTTCCTGCTTCTTTTAGTTCCCAGGAAGTGCTCTGGAAGCCTGATTAAAAACAGGAACCTTAGTGCTGAGGACATAGCTTGTGGCAGAGTGTGTGCATAGCATGCACGTGGCCCTGGGTTCAATCCCCAGCACCAGAAGTAAAATAAAATAATGAAAGGAAATAAAGCGGAAACAAATGATGTCATTCCATTGTCCTCTGTCCAGCCTTGTTTCTGGTAAGCACTGTTGACTTTTGCCTTTGTTCCCCTGTTTGTCGTGTCTTTTTTCCCCTCTGGTTTTACATTTTTATTTATTTTTATTTTTTAATTGACACAGAAAAATTGCACACATTTGGAAGGCACCATCTGATGTTGGAAATCATGTGCACGCTGTGTTATGTACAAGTCTGGGTAAGCTGATCTATCTCCTCAAAAGTTAATCATTTATTCTGGCTCTTCTGGCTTTCAGAAAATTGATAACGAGGTACTGTTAGCTTTTAATCATTGTGACAAAATACTTGAGATAATCAACTTATGAGGAAGAAAGATTTCTTTTGGTTTACAGTTTTGGAAGTTTCAGGGTCAGCTGGCCCGCTGCTTTTAGACCTGTGTTGGGGCAGCAATCAGGGCAGAGGAAGCGCTACACCTCATGGTGGCTGGGAATGAGAGAGGGCCAGGCTGGGGTCCCAGCATCCCCTTTAAGATCACCCTTCCAGGTCCCTCATTTTCTCCCCCTGGGCCCTGCCTCTTAAGGATTCTCCACCTCCCAGCAGAGACACAGGCTGGCAACCAAACTCACAGCACGTGGACACTTGCCCAAACCATAGTCAGTACTCTGCTGAAGTTCTGTGTGTTTAGGCTGGTCAGAGTCTTTGATCTGTGGACATATAATCTTTATAAATGTTACAACACATTCTGCATTTTAAAAAGTGAGCTTTGGGATCAGAGAACCTCCAAATCAATTTTAAACCCGAGCGAGTCATGGAATCTTAGGGAAGTTCCTTACGTATTCTGAGTCTTGACGTTTTCACTGGTAGAATGAAGACAATGGCTCCTACTTCACAGGGCAGTGGTCAGGCCTATATAAGCCCGAGAAGAGTAGCAGGTAAAATTCTGAGTAATTAGTCTATTGTCTTCACACACAGGTCCTTCACAAACACTATTCCCTGTCACTTCTGCCTTCTCCTCTCTAGAATCATGTGCAGCTTCATAGGAGAAAACACACACATGAAAGAGTGAATATACTAGATTTAAACACAGAGTAGAAATTTTTTAAAAGAAAAATTTAAAAGAAGTTTTATTGAGATGCAACCTTAGCAAGTGCATAGGCCTTAAGGATATAATCTGATGACAAAATATACGAATTTCTAAGCTGGGAAGGTGCACAGAATGTCCAACACAATGAATTGGAAATTCTGGCATTTAGACGAAGTGCTCAGATATTAAAATACCACTAATAGGAAAACTCTAAAGGCTCCAAGTGAGAGGATAAAAGGTCACGTACAAAGGCAAGAGAACCTGTAGTTTACAGGGGTGTTTTATTCACTTTCCTTGTAGCTTTGACAAAATATCTGACACCTACAGCTTAATGGAGGAGAGGTTTATTTTGGCTCACACTTCAGTCCGTGGTTGCTGGGCTCCCACCAAGAAAGGGCACAGCACAGGGGCCTGGCCCAGGAGAGCTGCTCACACCATGGCAGCCAGGATGCAGAGAGCATGAAGTGAGGATCCGAGAGGGCAATAAAACCCTTCCAGGTCGTGCTCTCAGGGAGGTGCTCTTCCAACCGCACCCTACATCCTAACTGCAAGTCAGGTATACCCCATAATCCACTCACCTTCCAAAAACCCAGGTTATGAGTATTGGAGGTGCCAGAGGGACATCTAGGTATGAACCGTATCAAGGAGCTTCTCAAAAGCCAGCATGGAAGCCACAGATCCAGGGGGAGTAAGTCTCAATCTACCTGTTCTCAAGCCCGAGGGAGTCTAGAATAAAGGCATTCTCACGGCTTGAAACCCACATCTACCTCTCCCCGTACCCTTTCTTGGGAGGTGTTATTGAATGTGTCACCAGAATAAAGGGGTGCACCAAGGAGGAGGAAGGTAGGAACTCTTGGGAACACAGCATCTGGAACTAGACAGAAGCCGGGGTCATCCTGGTAAAGGGAGCATTCGAGACCTAGCATGCACCTGGTAGGAGACTGAGGGCTTAAGGGAGATAGATTTTAGGGGAAAATCCCCCAGAACAAAATTGATCAGTCAGTTACCTGATGTGTTTGGTTATGTAGGTAAAGCATAATATTCAGAGTTTTACAATTCTGGTGAAGATTTTAGGAAGAATGCACCAACAAGATAAGCCAAAAATGATAGCTCCAAAAATGATAGCTATTAATGCACCAGGGAGAAAAAGTAAACAGATATTTAAGGAACAAATACAGTTGCAGTTCCTGCATATATTAAGCTGAGTAGAAGACTATTAACATAGCCAGTATTTGGAAGATAGAGGAGGAGGTACTGGGACTATTACATGCATATTTCCATTCACACGAAGTCCATAGATAAAGCCTAAAATGGGAAAAACTAAGAAAGTTAATCAGGTTATATTATCAGGATTATAGCTATAAATACTGGAGAGTGAAAAGAGTTAAAAGGTGCCATTTTAAACTACTGGGCTTATGGTAATTGTATTTGATTTTCATTGTGTACATATATTTCTTTGATAATTTTTAAAAAGAAGTTCCAAAGAAAAAGGAAATTGAAAGCTGATAGTCTTGAGAGAAAAGACCTTTGATCTGCAAAGAGCATAAACCTGAGCGTTTACAAAGGTCGCTGTCCGGGGTTAGAGCCATAGCATTAATGCCGTAAACGATGCGTTAGCAGGGGAACAATGGTCAAGGAGGCCAACCCGCCCTGCAGAACCAGATCAATGCCTGAGACCAAGAATTTGGAGCGGGAACAGGCCCTGGTGTGGCTAGACCGCACCTTGCTCCCTCTCATCTTTCCTCTTTGCAGACCCACCCTCTGGTGGGAAATGACAAAAGAAACTCTAAAATATTTGAAAATCCAGGGGAGTTATGAACCATTTTTCAGAAGCCTGCACCCACAGCCAGCCTTGAAGTGAAAATCTGTACCCATCATGTGCAGGAGCAACAGAGGGCAAGCTCTGGGCATGTGTCTGGGGCACAGGGGCCCGGAGAACTGTCCTACCTCCCACAGCCCCACGGAGCATGGAGAGCATTCTAAAACTACTTCTTCTCCCCATCTCAGCAGGTAATAATGAACAACTACTAAATCTCTATGGCTTCAAGCCATGATATTTCGATTCTTGCTCCTGCCATATGTCTGTCCATCTTATGTGTGCTTTACATCAGTCTCACCCAAAGACCCGGAAAGATGGAAATGCTATCGGGTGAAACCCAATACTAATGATTGGGAACAGGGACCAATTCCCTGGGGTTTAAAGCTGCTCGCTGGAAGTGGGACACATTACTCTTAATTGTTTTGTTAGTCAAACCATGTCACAAGATCACCCACCTTCAAAGGGATGGGAAGTGTGTTCTTTCCACAACCCAGAAGGGAAAATCTGAATAAACTCGTGAATCCAGTGGGTTTTAAGTCTGAAGGGAAGAAAATGAATGGTGCATAGACCTACCTGATGGGATGGCATGAGGTTTTCAGACACCAAGGGGATTAATTCTAACTCCTGAGACTGATCAGGAGAAGCCACCCTCTGGTGTGCCCAAGGCAGGGCAGGAGATGGCCTTGCCCATGCCTTCCTCCAACAAAATGCATGTTGTGTGTCACTCAGAAGTTATGGGCATGCTCAGGGAAAAGGAGCCAAGCCTGAGTTCATGGCTTTTCATGTGAGGTGACCAGGACATCTTGAGAGTGATTACATTAAGTTTTTGCCTCTAAGCAGAACAGTGGCTCGAGGTAGACCCAAGGTTGAGCTCAAGAAAACCCGGCTTTTCTTGCTCCTGAGTTTTATGCCCAAAGATACTGATACCTGATGGATGTGTGACAGGAAGCCAGTGTTCCACAGAGGGCTGCTACTACTGCTCTTCCTTTCTTCTTCAGCTGACGTTTGGTTCTTTTCCACAGCTTTCGGGCTGAAGGTTCCAGGTGGAATAGCCAGGACGTTTTGTGAAGATGGTGCTTGGAAGAATGCTTTGTTTATTGCGCCATGCAGCAGGGTGGTCCTAGGAAATGCCAGTCACCCACACCCACAGCGGGCTCTCACCGAGCACCCTCCTGCCACGTGCTTTGTGTCTACACTCTGACAACCACTTGTACCACTGACGTTACAAAAGCGTTACTTGCTTGACCTCACTGAAGCTCTCAAATGAAAAAAAAAAGATTCCTGACTGTTCTTCTAAACAAAGAAATGATGTTTCTTTTCAATCTAGAGTTTGGGAAACGCACACAAGTGACCTCCAAAGCCGATCGGGAGGGGAAAGGCATTCCGGGGGGAGCTGTCTCAGGACCCGTCTGCTGCCACCCGGGGCGCAGCCTTGGGTGAACCCTGTTCCTCTCCGGGCCAGCATCGCTCTTCTGCAGCATCGCTCTTCTGGACTCGTGGTCCCCTGAGGTGGCTTCTGTTTTTAACAGCCAGGTCATTTGTGACTGCAGAGGCCAAGGGAAAGGGAGGGCAAAGGAAAAGAGGAAAGGAGAAAGGAGAAAGAGAAGAGGGAGAATGGAAAACAAAAAAACAGAACACAAAGGAGGAAAATGGGATGAAAGGAAAACCCACGGTCACATTTGCTGAGAACAAAGCCTATGCCTCAGTGCTGTGCACCCTTAATGGACGTTTATTAAATGAGGGGACCACAGCTGAGAGGAAGCCCTTGGCAATGCATCTCAGAATAGAAGCCTCGGTATTTATTTCAAAGACTAATATCATTTCCCAGGGAGAATTTTTAGTCCAAAGGATTTATACATGGGCAATTAAATTCTTACCTTTCACCATATCTGCCTAAAAGCCACAAAAATAATGACGCTACCTCATCTTTCCTATGAGCCAGTATTTCTAAGGGCATGTGCCACCTAATTCAGGCGTCATAACAACACTGTACAGTAATTACTACTGAAATCCCCACCCGCTAATTATGCACCCTAAGCCATTTGCCCAGCAAGAAAGTAGGAATGCTGAGACTCAAACCGAGACTTGTTTTGCTCTGAAGCTCACATTCTTTTGGTTTGGATTCCCAGCAGTGACCATGGTAAGAGGAGACATAACGAAAGTAGATAATTCTCAAACACCAGCATCATGGAGGACCTCAACTTCTTCTTTGTGCTCATCTTCTTTGCAGTTCACCGTCTCCATCTTTGTCTTTTCTCTGTCCTCCTTTCCCCACTTTTATCTTCTTTCTATTTGGACCAGGTACTAGGTATACGTTGGATACTCTTTATCTCACATACTTGGAGCCAGAAATGTTTTAGATTTGGGGTTTCTCTTCCCTTCTTCCCCTCCTTTCTTCCTTTCTTCTTTCCCCTTTCTTCCCCTCTTTCTTTCCCTTCTTTATTTTCTTTCTTTCTCTCCTTCCTTCCTCTCTTGCCTCCTTCCCTCCCTTCCCTTTTCCTTCTTTCTTTCTTTCTTTCTTTCTCTCCTTCTCCTCCTCCTCTACCTTCTCCTCCTCCTCCTCTTACTCCTCCTCCTTCTCCTTCTTCTTTTCTCCCTCTCTCTCTCTCTCTCTCTCTCTCTCTCCAACAGCAACAAATGTAACAAACATCTTGGCATCTTAGGAACTGGGTCTTGTTGATCCTGGGCTATCTTATACCTAGGTGGTCCCTGGTTCTCAGGAGGTTAAGTTCATGTTAACTGAATCAAAGAATGAGTATCTCATCCTGATAGTTCATTAACAAAACCCTACCTCACACCAGTCACCTGATACAGAAGATAAACCAAGGCCCTCACCTCTACTGGAGTGCTGGGGAGATGCACAAAGAGCAGCCCCTGACCTGGTCCTCACAGCCGTGCAGATGCCATGGCACAGTATGCCAACCTTGCACGTCACTCTGAAATCACCATGAAACAGCACAGAATGAGACACTTCAGTCTCATCTACACACAGACAAAAATCAAGATTGTTGCATCACCCACAGAACAAATCCCCTCAAAACCTCTCTTGGTGAATATCGGTGACTGCTGCCCTGTCAATCAGAGCTCTATCTTGTAGTCTTCTCTTTGCAGAGATCTCTTGAGATGCCCAGTCATAGAACTGGCCCTACTTTCTGGTAGCAACCAATCTAGGGCTAGTTCTCACCTCCCCAAATCACCCAAGCAATCCCAGGATCCTTCCTGACACCGTCTCCCTGAGATGCTCCTCACCCCATGGGAGGAGTGCCCACTTAAAGCAAGGGTGCTCTCATGGGCTCGGCTGGGCCCTGACAGCACCACTTGTTAGCTCTGAAGAAGAAAGATATGCTGTCTGCCTTTTTGAGAAGTGTCCAGAGGAGGATCAAGTGGAAGCACTGCAGATGAAGAGGAGAGTGTGGCAATCCCCAAAGGGAGAGACACATGTGGGCATACAGGGCCGATTTTCTCCATGCAACCTAATGGGCACAGCAACCCTTTATGCCATCTCCTGACAAAGCCTGCAGCCAATGCTGGGTTATTCATTATTGAAACTGGGTTTAGTTTGAGGCAGAGAGGGCTGAATCTCACAGTATGTGGCTGAAGGCACCGGACTGTAAACAGATCCCATGAATGGCAGACCATGTTCTGGTTTCTATCTAGGTGTCCCCCAAAGGCTAGGCTTTTGAAAGGCAATTGGGGTATGGTGCTTACAGCTGACTTGCGTCAGGAGCTGGGTCTGATAGGAAGAAGTGGGTGACTGGGGATGTGACCCCAGGGGTTTCTCCCGCCAACACTCTCAGCTCCTCCTTTCTGCTTCCCTGATTCCAGGACGAACAGACATGAGAAGCTTCTCCTCCAGCCCTTCCCACTGCCACACAGCACTGCCTTGGAGCCAGCCAACCATGGACTGCAGCCGTGAACCAAACCCAATCTCTCTTTCTTTAAGTCATAGGCATCCAGCGATGAGAAAAGTGACTAAGACAGCCCCAGAAGGCTCCCTGCACTGGAGTCTGCAACAGCCTACAGGGCAGATAGTTTCATCCTGATGTGAATAATTAGATAGCGCAGTGCACTACCCTGCATGTGAGCCATGGCAAGTGCTCCAGCCTGATCAAGAGACCTCATGACCACTCAGGAAACTCCCTGCCTTCCAAAGACAGCTGCTCACCACCTGCTGTGGATGGCAGAATGGGCTCCAGTTTCTGGCCAGCTCTAGGCTGGCCACAGTGTCTCTGCGGATTAGGGCTGACAGTGCTGATGGATCTATTCTGGTTCTTTATCACAGAGCTTTGCGGTAAAATAGATAGAAGACAGCATGAGCATATTAGTTTCCTGGAGCTGCTATAATTAGCCGGGGGTGGTTAAACAACAGAAATTTATTGTCTCACAATTCTGAAGGACAGAAACCTAAGAGGAAGAAATTAATAGTAGACTGGTGTTACTATAACAAAACATCTGATACCAGCTACTTTATAGAGCAAAGATGTTTATTGAACAAATAATTCTGGAGACTGAAGTTAAAATAGCATGACATGGGCTCCGGTATATATATTCATTCTCTCTTCTTATAAGGCTACCAAGATTTAATCATGAGGGTTTAACTCCAGTGACCTAATCACTTCACAAAGACCCCAGCTCTAAACACCATTGTCAGACGAAGTTTCCATCCTCTTAATACTATTAATATAGGACTTTAGAGATTAAACTGTGTGAGTTCAAGGTGACAAACCACAGCAGTACTGATAAGGGTGGCACCTTCTCAGGGAGCCAAGGGAGGGAATTATTTCAGGCCTCTGTCCTCAACTAACAGGTGGCTGTCTTCATGTTGACATGACTTATTTCCTTTCTTATAAGGATACCAGCCCTAGTGGATTAAAGTCCATCATCTTGACCTTCTTTAACTTGATCATCTCTGTAAAAACCATACTTATACCATCACTCCCTGAGGTACTGGGGGTTAGGGCTTTAGCACATTAATGGGGAGCACAGTTCAACCTGTATCACTGAACAATCCTCAGGAACCCAAGGCAGATGCTGAAATTGTCAAGCTTTAGGGGTCCCTGTGTTACCTGGGGATCTCATCACCTGTAGATTATCACTCAGTAGGTCTGAGATAGGCCTTAGACTCAGTATTTCTAAAATAAATGTCTAGAAGATGCTGATGCTGCTGATC